GCTTCTTTTCTTAGAAGGTAGTTGAGAAGGTGGTGGCCAACCAGCTTCAGGCTTTCTTGGATGAAACCAATGCCCTGGATGCATTTCAGTCGGGCTTCAGGCCATGCCACAGGATGGAGCGGCATTGGTCACCTTGCTGGATGACCTACTTAGAGAGCCTGACAGGGCAAAATATCCTTGTTTGTCCTCCTTGATATCTGAACCGCCTTTGATACTGTTGACCATGGTATCCTCCTGGGGAGGCTCTCCAAGTTGGGAATTGGTGGCCTTGCTCTCACTTGGCTCTAGTCCTTCTTGGAGAGCCATCCCCAGAGAGTTCTGCTTGGGAAGAATGTATCAGTCCTGTGGTCCCTCAGTTGTGGGGTCCCTCAGGGTTTGATCATCTCCCCAATGCTGTTTAACATCTATAAGAGGCTGTTGAGGGGGGTGTCATCCGGGGATGTGGAGCTTCATGTCACCAATATGCTGATGACACCCAGCTCTACATCTCTTTTTTTCCATCTGCAGTGGATGTCGTTCCATCCCTTGGGTGCTGCCTGGAGTCCATTTTGCAATGGATGCAGTTGAATGGACTAAGGTTGAACCTGGACAAGATGGAGGTCCTGCGGGTGGGTGGCCCCGATGTGGTTTGGGGAACTCCCTCTCTTTTGGGAGGGATCTCTTACCACAAAGAATTGGTTTGCAGTCTGGGAGTCCATCTTGACCCGGCGCTTACCATGGAGACCCAGGTAGTATCTGTGGTTCAGTCTGCCTATTTACATCTTCGATGGATTGCCCAGCTGCATCCCTATCTAGATGCAGGAGTGCTCACCACGCTGGTCCATATGCTCATAGTCTCAAGAACAGACTACTGTAACACTCTCTACATGGGGCTTCCTTTGAGACTGATATGGAAGCTCCAGATGGTTCAGAACATGGTAGCCAGGCTATTAACAGGGGTGAAAAGATTGAACCATATTTCTCCCACCTTGGCTACCTTACACTGGCTACCTATCCACTTCCACATTGATTTCTAGGTACTATTACATACAAAGCCCTTAACGGTTTAGGCCCTCGATACCTGGTAGAGCACCTTCTTCCACCATGTTCTATCTGTATCACCCACTCTAGTCGGGTGGCTGAGGGACCTAATGCCAAGAGAAGCCTGGTGGGAAAAATTAGAAATTGGGCCTTCTTGCCAGTAGCCCCTCACATCTGGGACAACTAACCTGTAGAGATCCACCTGGCTCCCTTGCTGAGGGCCTTCAAGACTAACTTGAAGACATGGTTATACAGGCAGGCCTTCCCTACAGCCATTACCTAGCCTATCTCCCCTTCTCTTTTCTCCCTCTCTCTCTCTCTCTTTCTTCTTTTTCTTCTTTTCTTCCTTTCCCACCTTGGACTCTGTGATTACCTTAGTTTATTTTTATGTTATATGTAAACCACCCAGAGTAGACATGTTCTAGATTGGTGGTATGTAAATCTAATCAATCAATCAATCAATCAATCAATCAATCAATCAATCAATCAATCAATCAATCAATCAATCAATCAATCATTAATACACATATTCAATAAAGATTTTTAAGGGCTCAAGTTCTGGGCCTGGATGGATGCATCTGTCAGTTTTAGTCTTTCTTACAGCTGTTTTCCCTGCACATTTTCCTGCTATAACTATGAAGTATCTAGCAAATCTTTACAATTTCTTCAAAAAAACAGACAGAATTATCTCCAATTTCTGATGTCAAATATAGTGGCCAGAATCCTATTTCCACTTGCAGAGCATAACTGCTCCATGGGTGGAACAGGCCTCGATTGCTCCAGTTATCCTCAGACTACAAGGTGAAGTTTGCCTTGTTAAAAACAAAAAGGCTTTCTCACACACAAGAAGGTAGTGAATACACCCTTGCACTATAAAAAGAAGCCCATATACAGTGGTGCCTCGCTTTACAATCGCCCCGCGTTACGACGAAACCACATTACGACGATCTTTTTGCGATCGCAATTGCAATCACAAAACAATGGTCTGAATGGGTTTTTTTCCTTTTGCGATTATCGGTTCTCTGCTTCGGGAACCGATTCTTCGCAAAACAACGATTTTCCTCCAGCGGATCGGCGGTTTCAAAATGGCCGCTGGGTAAATAAAATGGCTCCCCGCTGTTTTCTGGGACGGATTCCTCGCTGCACAGGCACCGAAAATGGCCGCCCTATGGAGGATCTTCACTGGACAGTGAGTTTCCAGCCCATTGGAATGCATTGAAGGGGTTTCAATGCGTTTCAATTGGCTTTTTATTTACGCATTATGTTTTCGTTCTACAGCGATTTCGCTGGAACGAATTAACGTCATAATGTGAGGCACCACTGTACTCAGTACGCTGTTACATGTAAGTTAAAAAAATAATAAGGATTCTGGCCAGTGTTTCCCCCCCCCCTTTGGATACTTAATATACATAAGTCTCAGTTCCTCTCTCTTATACACAGACACACGGGGAGGGGGGAGGCAGAGACAGACAAACACAAATCTTTTTTGTGACCCTGAATTATTTCCTGCCTACTAAATGTATGTATGTTCAGATGGCATATGTGTTTCTGAAAAGGGGTGATCTCAGCAAAGATTAGTTTCTGGCATATTCTTGCAAATATCTAATTATGCTTGGTTATACTGGTACCCAAAGAAAAACAGAACTGGGCACATAGAAGCAAACCACAGAATCTCCTCAGTTACTAGTGCTGAACCTTAGCACAGTTTAAATGTTGTTGGGCCACAGCCCACAGGTTTGGGGTCATGTGACTTCCGGCTCGATGCTGCAATGAGACAGCAGCAGGAGGACGGAGTTCCATCCCCTGGGCTGTATTTTGACCTGTTTGGGACCTCCCAGGAGGTAAAACCATCCTGAAGAGGTGGTGAAATGGGGGAGAAGCCTGTTGCGCATGGGGGGGACGGCGGTTACCCACATTTGCTCCAGGAAACTCCGCAATCAACCAGCAGGCAGAAACAAGCAGCTGAATTAGCTTGCTTGCAAGTCGTTGGCAGCCAGCAAAAGAAGAAGTGATAAATCAGCCAATTTAACATCACCATTACCACTGGGTGATACCACTGGATACAAAATCTTAATTATACTGCTCTATAACTATCTCTGGATGGAATAATTGCTTTAACAGGAAAAAAAGCGCCTCTTAGCCCCACCACTAAATTGAGCTGCGGTGGATCTGGAGAAGTGGAAAAAGATGCAAAGAGACACAAAGAAAATAAATTGGACATTAATTAAACACTTAATTATACTTTAAGGAAGGAAGTTTGGTAATACTTTGGCGTTAAACTTAAGAAATTTTCCTCTTTAAATTATTTTAGCCAAACAACGCAGGGATTTAAACTGTTATAGCTATTTACAGGGTTGGTAAAAAGCCCAGAACATGACCTTGAATACTCAAACTTGGAACTATGTTTTGATTTTCCTCTTTTTTTTTGAGAGCCGACTAAAACATAGACAATTAACTTTGGAAAGTCTAATACAAACATCGAGTGAATGGGGCTGTCAACTTCTGTCATAGACTGGATTTAAATTAATCCTAAAGGTGATGAATTTACTAAAATGGACTTATTGAAGCAATTATTGATGGATTGGACTGACTGCTCTAAGCCAGTGGTTCTTAACCTTGGGTTACTCAGGTGTTTTTGAACTGCAACTCCCAGAAACCTCAGCCAGCACAGCTGGTGGTGAAGGCTTCTGGGAGTTGCAGTCCAAAAACACCTGAGTAACCCAAGTTTAAGAACCACTGCTCTAACCTACTGGACATCTTTAACTTGAAATACAAGTACTTGGTATCTTGGGACATAATGCTACAACAAGGGAAATTTTGGGATAAAACAAATTCTACCTTTCAAGCAATCTTAGAAACAGTGAGATCCCACAACGAAGAGATGAAATCATTCAAGAAGCAACTAAACAAGGACTATATTCCACAGGAGACAGGGAATAATGAACAAGGAAATGTGAGGGTGGAGGACGATGTATGCCAACCAAAAGAAGGGCTGGAGGAAACCAGAGGGAAAAATGTAGGAGATTTGATTCTAATCCTAGAGCTGAGGATAATTTTAGCTATATTAAGGGAAGATAAGGGGAGAAAATCAGCAGAATTGATTAAAAATAGCCTGGAAGATCTATTGGAGATAGATCAAGTGCATAAAGATCATTGGAGATAGATCAAGTGTATAAAATGTTTTCAGATGACACAAAGGATGGCAGAATGTTTAGGGAGAAAGAAACAAGAATTGGGAAAAGACAAATAAGAGGAGGAGTTACTGAAAAAGATGAAAAAAGGAAACATATTAAGGTGGCCCTCAACGCTGAAAGCATCTATATACTTAACTTCTGGAATTGTAAAGAGGCATATCATAAATTAAAAAAGGAAATTAAACTGAGATAAGGGATCATTCATCAGGGTAAAGGCATAACATGGTGGTTTTTAAGGTAAATTGAAGTTAGATTACTTAATGAATATACATTACATATGATATTGATATAGACATGAAAGAAAATCTGTATAAAATGCTTTAGATAACATTTATTATGTGTTAGGAACCTACTCAGTTATTGGTATAAAATACAAAGTTTGTCAGTTAAATCACCTCAAAATTATATAGATTTTGAACCAGAGTTACTTTTATTAGCTATGTTTCTAGATGATTTTGAGAACATTGTGTACTCTGAGAGCAATATTATGATAGTAGCCAATACTGTATACTAAAATATACACATGAACGGTTTAAAAGTTTAAAAATGTATAGATTTTGAAGAGACAACTAAGAAGACACCAAGACACAAAAAACGAATAATTATATGCAACCCATATAATACGATGTTTAATAAGCACAAATTTGAATGTAGATAGACTGAAACATTAATAACATGTTTTTGTTTTTAAAAAAGGATTGGGGTCATGTGACCAAAATGTTTTTTAAAATAAATATATTTATTACCATATATGAAAACCGGCACCACTAATGCCTTATTCCTTACCTCATATGACCAGACACACTGAGTTCCACCAAACCGTCGAACACACCGGCCCACTTCCACATCCTCATGAGTAGTGTACATTTCTCGAAGACATTCTCCGATGTGTGGCACCATCCTCCGGAGAACTTCTCGACTGAAGATCATCCCAGGACCTCCCATGCAGAAGTTTTCTCCTGGCTCAAGACCCAGTTTTCCAAGTTCTTCAATATTTCCAAGTCCTGTTTGCCCCAAATAAAGAGGTTTACTGCTGTTCAGTGACCGAAGGAATTCCTCCAATTTTTCCCCTACAATAGGAAAAAAGAGAAGAGATTATTCATACCCTATCATCCATTTCAAGTTTTTTAAACCCCTCAACTATCTTTTAAGCCATGACTCCATGATCTTTTCTTTTCCAACAAATAATACTAAAGCTAAAGGAAAGGTTAGAATATTCTGGACTCAGAATTCCCTATAAAATCAAGAAAATACTGGTTTATGTCAATGGCTCAAACTGAAAGACCGCTTAGAGCAGGAGTGGGCAATCTCAAGAAATCCAGAGGCAACAGAACACAACCTTGAACCCTAGAGAATCTGTTCGCATGATCCCACAGTCCCCCCAAAAAAATTCTTACAAAAAATTGCTATTGAAAAGCCCATACCCCTGGTGGTTGAAAACAACATTTAAAAAAATAAATTTGCAAGGGGATTCCAAGATGACTGCGGGCCCTATGAAATGGCAAAACTGGCTGCCATGCCCCTGTAATGCAGAAGAGAACTTGTGTGTTATTTTAGTCTTTCAAAAAGCATGTGGTTGGGGTTTTTTAATTTGGAAGGGTCCAGAGGACAGGAAGGCTTAGGGGCTGCAATTGGGTTTCTGAGGAGCTACATGTTCCCCATTTCCCCCCTAAAGCCAGTAACAGACAGTTCTGCTACCCCGTAGGAAATCTATCGGATTTTCTCTTATTTCCATCCCAAACCCTTAGCTATCAGGGTGGATACTGGAAATTCCATTTCTATCCCAATGTCCCAGTTGCTAAGCAGTAAATAATCTCAGGGTTCCTGTTCAGCAGCTAGAAAGAACTGCAATACAAAGGGCAAGGAGGAAAGGTCTCCGTGGGCAAGCAGAACTCTATTCACAGATCTCTATTCACAGTTCTCTAAATATAAGTCAGTGTTTTATAATGGTTTGCCCTTCTACAAATATACATCCCACATACTGTAGCTCTGCAATCTTCCACTTGCCTGCTACAGGTTCTAATTCCTAGATAAGCAACTAAGTTGCAAACTGTACAGACATCAATTCCCTCTTCCATTTCTCCATCATTTGCCCAATGCCCTACTGCTGCCTTTGGATACATTTCCTCTTCTATTGCTGTGGCTATCCTCTTACACTCATTATGAAATGGAAGCTGACCAACTTTGCTAGCCACATTCACAGTATACAGTATTAACAATGAGATATTAAATTACTTACTATACAATAATGACATGTCTATAGGTATTGAAACTGCTCCAACATTTCTCAGCATGAATAGTATTCCATTTATTATCTGCACTATACCCTATCATCATACCTGGTTATTTGCATGTATATTTTCACTCAAGCAAATGGCACCAAAAGCCATTCATAATAATAAATAACTCAGTTCTTCAAAAAACCTCTGGTTTATGAATGTTGGATACTGTGTTTCTGAATCCAATATTCAAAATACCAGGAATATTGTGCCCACATTGCCAGTAGGAAAAAAAGATGCCAAAATTTACACAGCAAAAGTCAGCTTAAATATTGACGACACCATGCCAGCAATAAAGATGGTATACAAGTTACTTTCTTGGGCTCACTCCATAGAATGCAGACTAGAAAGCTCATTCTGCTCTATAGAATGCAAATTAGAAAACTATCTTCTAATTTTGTTGCCTGCATGTTTTCTAAAGGATATCTTCTCATATTTTGAAATAAACCTAGGGGTTGGGGGGCATGCTGGGTTTAGCAAAGATTGTCACTTGAAACCAAGGTCAAAATCATCCATACTATGTAAAAGTCAGACAGAGGAGAATCAATTCATCTGAAATGTGGTGTTGGAGGTGGTGTTAGAGGTGACACCACAGACCACTATCTTGACTGCTGCCATCGGTGCTGTCAGTGTTCAGACTGTCCTTTGCTATGTAAAGCTTAACATCCTTTTCTCGCTGCCAACAAGAGCACAACATTGTGCAGCAATATCAGGTTATTCCCTGGCTTTTTGAATCATGGGAACATAAGCACAATATCCCACATTCATTATCTGGGGAAGGGGGTTAAGAATCGTATTTCCTGGCTTTTTTAAATGGATGTGTAAGTATAAATACGCTACACACAAATTACAACAGAACCTTCCCTCATGTAGAATAATCCAGTGCTAGGGAATCACAGAAGATGAGCACATGATCTGTACTATGGGCTGCCTCCATTTTAATTTAAATGTTCATTTATTTTTTCAAAAAGACACAAAAAGCAAAAGGGGGAAAGTGAAAATTGAGAGTTAAGAAAATTTTCAGATATCAAGAAAATAAGGTTGCCCCCGTTTTTAGAACTGGCTTATAGAATATTGATTTGTTGTGCTGCCACAAGATCAGTCTGTACTCTCATGCAGCAGTAATACCAAATAAGTAGCTATAATCCAACAGTAGTAGTCACAGTTAGTCCTTAGAAATAATTATCTTCTGCCAAAAGAGAAAGAGAAAGAGAAATAAGGTGGATCTGTGGAAAGGGGGAAAAACACTTCATTTTCTCTCTGATAACATGAAAATGCAAATAAAGATGTGCGTGCAGATGTACCTCAACAAGATGCACAGAGGCTTAAGAGATAAGACTTTTCAAAGATACCCTATAAACTCATAATTAGAATACTAATGTGTAACAAACAGCCTTTCATTATTGCAAGGGAGAGTAACCTTTGTGAATAATAACACCAAACACTGAAATATGCTACAAATAGAAAAACATGTAGAATGTATATACTGTAATGTCATTAAGCCTTTTCCAATATTTTGCTTTTCAATCCCTAAATTAAAATTTTGAACTGACAGAAGTTGCAAACCAACACACAATGTGATCTATGCACATTCAAAGGGCAAGGCAAGGGTGGACTGCCACCCTTAGGTTGCAGGGCACAAGGATACAATAAACTCTATTATACTGGAAACCAGAACTAAGTTCTTGCCCAACCTGAATTAATATCTTCTCAGCATTTACTTTAAGCCATATGAACTAAAAGAATATGACTGGAGGGCGTCAAACAAACAACACTCTTGCTAACACACATTCACAGCTTTTAGACTGATAGCATCTTTCTATTAAACTTGTTTCAGCCCATGCATCCTGATTATTCCCTCCATCCAAGAAACCACTGCAGTATTTAAACAAAGTCAGCATTCTGTACTGGATTTAAATTGCAATGCATTTCTAAGACAACATCTGAAATAAATGTTAGACAAAGTGAGACTCATAAAGAGCAGAAAGTCAAGACATTTTTCAAAGTACCTAATCTGCCATACATGAGAGGATGGTTGCAGCTAATTCACAGTGAAAGAACAGCACCTTACACAACACGGTCTGCTGAGCTACTGTAATAAAATAATGTTTTAAGGAAATATTGACAAGTCAGACACTAATTTTAATAATGTGGTTACCACTATTAAATGTTAAATTGTCAGATGTTGTCTCAATAAGTTTTTTGATTATTTGTAATTAAATATCAGGCCTTTTGAGACTGGATGGCAGTTTTCAGCATGGCTGAAAGAGACAGGTAAGGGCAGGGGTCTCAAACATGCGGCCCGCTGGATGAAAGTTTGTGGCCCCCGCCTTGCCTGCCCCCCTGAAGTGCCCACACGTCCTCTGCTGTCAAGAGTCAAAAAAGCCTCGCCTCGCTCGCCGGCTCTCTCCCAAGACAGCGACTCTTGCACCCTCCATCCGGAACTGCAGCCTGCCAGCCATCCCGCCTGAGTGTGCCTTTTTTTTTGAGGGGGGCCCTCAGAGGAAGGTTGCTGGACCTCTGTGTGTGTGTGTGTACGTGTGCACACCTGTGGGGGCCCACCCCATTCTGTCTAATATCGTGGGTACCAATGGAGGCTTTTCTCCTTTGGCAAGGCGTTTCTATGAGGTTTTTTAAAAAATGTATGTTGTGCCCTCCTCTCCCCACCAGTGTTCCCTTCCTTCTCCGCTTCTTCATCCTGCTGTTGCTGGTTGTGGTGGTAGTGAAGAAGGAGCCGGAGAGCGTCGTGGCTGGCAACGAGGGCTCGCACTCCCCTCCTTCTCCTCCTCGGAGCCCCTCGGACCCCTCCTTCTCCTCCTCGGAGCACCTTGGGCTCTTGCTCCGCTTGGCGGAAAATCTGATGCAGCCCAGCCTCATCCAGACTCTGCCTCCAGTGGCCCCCAGGTAAATTGAGTTTGAGATCCCTGGGTAAGGGAGGCAAAAACTCCTTCCTCACCTACAGCACTACTTCAAGTAAACGCATGCTGCTCCTTGCAGAGCCATTAGGTTTTCTCCTCCTCGGAGCACCTTGGGCTCTTGCTCCGCTTGGCGGAAAATCTGATGCAGCCCAGCCTCATCCAGACTCTGCCTCCAGTGGCCCCCAGGTAAATTGAGTTTGAGATCCCTGGGTAAGGGAGGCAAAAACTCCTTCCTCACCTACAGCACTACTTCAAGTAAACGCATGCTGCTCCTTGCAGAGCCATTAGGTTTTGGGGAGAAAGACCCCGTAATGTGCTTCTATATCTTACTTATTTCTCCTTACTGTGAGGTGGGGGGGCGGTGTGTGTTTGTGTTTGTGTGTGTGTGTGTGTGTGTTTGAAAAACTTACTTCACTTTTAGAATATATACTGACTTTGGCTAACTTCAAGAGACAGTGCACTCAGAGAACCTGGTTGCCCAATCTAGGTGTCAGACTGATATGCTGTACACTCCTAGGCACGTTACCTGAGAAGAACAATAAAATGTTACATATGTCTCTACTTAAAAGTTTCAATGAGTTCAGAGTTCTAGGCAAGTCAATGGCTTACACTCAGGTCGCCATGCATAGGTACATATATGTTTGTGTTATTAGAAAGCTGCTTTCCCGTCCTGTCTTAAGAATTTGCAGATGAATAGAGTATGGGAAAAGCCTTGGTTTCTTAAAATTAGTGACATTCCTTGAAAAGCTTTGTGATCACACAATCCCCTTTGACCTGTATTTGGATGATCTTTCCAAATGAAAATGAGCACTTGCAACTACTTATACACAGAGAACATGAAACAGGTAAGACCCAAGAGACATCCTCTGGGCTTGGAAATCTATAAATCCTTCTTTCAGATGTTCAGTACAGTAATAAGAACTTTTTAACCACATCATGGACAGAAGCTATATATAAGTCCATATATAAGAACCCCAAGAGCTTCTTGGTCCACTACACACTTCAGCTTATGAAGCTCTTCCTTTCCAAAGTTCCTGAAGCAATAAGCTAGAAGTGCTTGAAGTGTCACTGGATTCTCAGCTTTGTGCTGCAAATGACTGACAAAAGTAGTCGGCACAAATTCATTGGGGGGGGGAATCATATAATACTGCAAACATCCTGCAAATCATAAACATTTTAATGCAAACAGAAGAGCAAATACAAATAAAACCATGAAACAGAACTGGGGAAACAAAAAGAATCTGACTGATGTACCACTGTAGTGGAACTGCCTGGCAGAGCCAACTAATAGCTCAAAGCAGACTAAAACAACTCTTCATAGGTTTGCAGCCTTCCACCGCTCATTCTGATGTAGACTGTCACAATATTTGTCACTGCTCCAGAGCAACAGGTGTCTTTGGTAGCCTTTTCTGAACTTATCAGATAAAATTCCAAAGTAGAAATCATAAAACATATACAGCCTTTATTACACATTTCTTAGTGAATGGGCAGAAGGAGAATTGGGTTTTTCATGACTTGAATTTCATTCACAAGATAAGCTCTCTGCCAAAGAAAAAGAGAGCTGGAACTCTGCAGAGACTAAGCAGTCAAAGCAGAGCCCTGGCCTAAGAAAAAGCTTGCACAGGGAAGGATTACAAGCTCATCACAACCACAGAAAAGCCACACTGCCAGCTATCACTCCTCCATCACTTGCCAGGCAGGGAAAATGTGAATTTCATTTGGCGTAAGTTTCCTTGTAACTCCTGAAAGTAGGTAGGTGTCAAATGATCAAAAATGATTAAGATTCTAGCCATGGACACATGCTTTTTTTAAAAAAAAATATATAACTCTGTGTTAACTTTGATAAGCTCAGAGGACAGACAAGGGAAGAGTAACCCATGAACTAGAGAGCCTCAATTCTTGCTTGTAATCCTATGTATATTTGACACTAAATTCAAAGGAACTTGTTCCCTAATAAAGTATGCATAGCTGGAGTGTATACCACTGAGCATACGGGAAATTCAATTTTGCTTAGTTACATGTGGTGAGCTCTTTCTTGGTCTAGCTAATTGGCACAGATGGTGGGGAAATTTCAGCTATTATCTGTGACAGTATAATATGTGTGTGTGTGTGTTTGTGTGTGTGCCCACGCGCTTTTGATGTTTCAGTGAAAGCTGGGCCACGTGGCTCCAAAACCTCCCTCACATATCCTTTCAATGCCAGGAGGACCATCTATCTTTCCTGTCAATGTAAACAGTACAGTACTGAGTTAGAGATCAAATGTCAGGCTTTCCGTGAGGTAGCTTAGGTTCCTCACAGAGGACACAAAAGTTACTATGTTGAACTCCCAGTTAAAAAAAAAAAGGGGGGGGGAGTTCACAACTTTTTCCAAGCCTGGAACGCTAGACAGATGCTTACAGGCAGATTCTGGCTCTGCACGCACTTTCTTAGCTCTCCAAATAAAAGGACTGGGATACAAGCTTGGAAGCCCAGAGGATGCTTGATCTACTCAAGAGCCCACGCTAATGCGATCTGCAGGGGTTCAGTGTATCAGCGTGGCCTCTGATGAAGGGGGCTGCAGTCCATCACAAATGAAATCTGTTCAGTCCTTCGAGTGCCACAGAAGTCTTTGCTGTCTTCGCAAGTGCTCCCTCATTCCTGACCCTCCTTAACTCTGTCCGATCCACAGCCCTAACAGGTTCGGAGCCCTAACAAAGCAAAGCCCGGCAGCACTGAAACGGTTCTGGAGCTCAGCCCCGACTGCCTTCCCCACTCCCACCCCTCCGCCTCACCTTTGATGTAGACGTCGTCGTCCGCCCGCATGAACCATTCATAGGTGTCCAGGTAGTGGTCGTGCATGTACTTGAGCATCATAAACGATTTCTTCTGCGGCGGGTACGAGTCGTCCACTCCGGGCAAAGCTATGACCGGCAGCGGCTGCTCTCCTCGCTGGGCAGGCGGCGGGAGCGAACCCTCGCTGGAGAAGAACTCCACCCGGCCGGAGATGGAGCGCACCCAAGTCCTCTGCGCCGCCAGCGCCCGGCTGCTCAGGTACTTCTGGGCGGTCATCACTCCGACGTAGAGAAAGTGACGGGTCTTGGCGCAGCCCGGGGCACCCCCATAGTCCCCGCTGCCGTTGTGGCTGCTCCCGTGGCGGCCGGCGCCTTCCTCGCCTTCTCCTTCCTCCTCTCCCTGCGTGGCGGCGCCTTTCCCGGCGGCTCCGAGGGGCAGAGTCGGCACCGGCTGGGCCTCCGCCGCGGGGGGGGGGGGCGGGG